GTAGGCAGCACGACCGACCATTCAAGGGCAGACACCGCCAAGTATGGTACAGTCAGTGTGAGGGTATACACGAGCATCGTAAGTATGACGTTGGCCGTGCACATGAGACCAACCAAATGGAGTGCGAGGGTTAGTCTACTTACCGCTATAGCAAGCGAACCAGTCAGGTCCGCAATAGCGGGATTTCTTCGAGTAGGCGATGAGCTTGATGGTAGGAGAGGAAAGGAAAGGAGCAATGAGTGATTTGCGTGCTTGCTTGCGCTTATGAGGAAAAAACGACGAGCATGACAGGTCGTGAACGATGATGTCACATGTGCCGGAGTATTGAAGCTGGCCACGATCCGCTGCCTTGACCCTAACCCAACCCTCTTCTCCTCACCCTCCAGCCCATCTTCGGAGGCAAGGGACTTCAAAATCGCTTTCGATGGAGGCATCAAGAATCGATGACTTGAAGGGCAACACAGTAGCGTCAGACACCATGCACTGGACAAGTTGCCATGGACTTGGAGGACCGCAGGAGACTTTGCTCATGCTGAGCACGCAAAACTGATGTGTGAGAAGCAAGGGATAGATCTGGCAGGATAGAGCTTTGAAACCGGTTGAAGCCCGCTCGGGGAGAGTGATCGACGACGAGAGACAGTACTTTGTAGCGGTGACGGGTGAGGTGTGCTGCGGGCGAAGGAGCGATCAGCGCCATGGATGGGCGGCAATTTGAGCGACAGAGGCATACAGTCTCACCCGTGCACATGTCATTCCCATTCTGTAAGTATGTCAATCAATGGTCAATCTATAAGTTATATATGGCGAGTTTCTTGCAGGCAATGTCATTGCCATCAAAATCCCCGACGGCCTTATTATCGACTCGCCCCGCCAAGGTTTGCAATGGCGAGCTTATGCGTTCCAATTCCCTGCTTGCCAATTTTGGTGTTACCATTCCGGGCACATGTTGCATTGCCACTGCCACGGTTCAGCACATTTGCTGATGGAAGTATGTCTTTACTTGGGCCATGGACTCTGCCACTAGCAACTGAGTTGTGTCACGTGTGTGAGGCTTCTCCAACTCTCCTCCGCTTTCACCGCTCAGCATGAGGAAAATTGTGTAATTGAAATATGAGCTTATAATCTACATGATCAGAAGCCAAAAGACGACCCTTCAACTTTGAGGTGAGTCGCTGCACAGTGCATCTGGGCGGTGGGGAGGCTGACAAAGCCCACGTGCTGTGACTGATCGTCACGATGCCCTCTGCCGAGCCCGAAATGCACCAGACGTTCTAGCGGTACTCTCAGGTACTGTCTGTAAGCGCTAGAACGGATGGGAACGAGACTAAGAATAGGCATGTCCAAGACTCCAAGGCACGCCGCATAGCTGTGACGGTGATTCAGCGCCTATGTAGTACTGGCCGGCCGACACGATTACATAATTGACGTACGTGACGGCGTGCATAAGAACCTCGTAAACATTCTTGTCAAGTGATCGCGAGCATCTTCACCCTGCTATGTACTTACCGTGAAAACTTGTGCTGTCTCTGTACAGCGTGCGTCACCGCTCTTTGCCAACAACCCAAAAAGGGCCCCCTTCAGACATGCACCCCGTGATATGTGCGTCCCTGCCAAACGGCACCGCAAGGCAAAAATTACACAGTAGTAGTAACAACGGACTGGACGCTACTCTCCTCGGAATGGCAACGAAGGGTCTCTACTGTGAGATCAATCCAATCCCTACGCCCGTATCCGTGCAGACGGCAGACGTCCCTAATCAGACTATACATGCTTGGCCCGATGTCTGCGCATGAAACGCGGCAACTCATCGAACCTCGTCCACCGCGTGCCCGTATAGTCGGTGAAGCTGATGCCAAGATTGTGCAGATCATGGATGATGGGTGCGAACCAGAAAGAGTATTCGTACTCGAACCTAGCATGGCGGGATAGAATAACGGTGAGCATTCCCTTGTCCACTTACGTGAAAATGATGACAGCCCGAGCGACACGGAGCCTACGAACTGGTTAACAGGCCACTTGAAGGGCTCTAGGATGCAGAATTCTTTGATGTTTGGGAGCTTGGCGCGATGTTCGGTGAGTTGATCAATAAACGAGTCCCATTCTTCGACCTTGGCCGAGTAATTTCGGATGTGGCTGCTCAATGCGGTCAGCCAATCGCGCAGCGTTCAACAGTCAGCCGTTGACCCACTCAAGTATGAGGATCGGGAAAGTTAGTCGCCTGATAGACGTGTGTGGCTGGGAGGACGTCAGGAAGGGGATATCCAGGGGCTACAAAGACCGTCAGGACGTCGTAGGCGACTCAAGGAATTGGTAGCGTACGACAGCGGTCGTCGTCACAAGACGCAGTTCATTGATGTGGGGGCAGAGATCTAAGATCGGAACTGATGGTGCCCCTGCGCCTTCGCGCATGTCGACTGCCAAAGAGTCGAGCTTCGCGCCATGCACCTCGAGGAGTCTCACGGCGTCCGGTGCGGCCACGGCTGAGAATCCAAGCTGTCGCAACGACGGCAAGCTATCGTAGAGCGTCAAGTTGGTACGAGGAATTTCCATATGGACAGCAACGTGCCTCATTCGAGCAAATACGTCAAGCATGCTGACATCGCATCCCCAGAGTTCCAAGACTTCAAGGGACGGCAAAGCGAGTGCTGGTATGTCCACGCATTCCGGAGCTGAGCATCGTCCATACAACGTTACGTTCTTCAGATTCGCAAACATCGCCCAGACGCCCGGGTCAATCACGTCCTGGCCGACGTCCTGCTCCATACTCTCGAGGAGAAACGCCCCGCCTCCTTCGACGTTGCGGGCTATATATGGGAACACTCGAACGCGTCTGTCGACGCGCAAAAGCCTAGTTAGTGGAGCGGAGATCCGCTTCGGCGCCTTCAATTCCACGCGACGTGGAATGAAAATCACACGGACGAGGCGCGCAAGCTCGTCTGATGCCTCAACTCTGGTGATGAACGTTTCGACGGCATTCTCAGACTTCAGGTGAGGGATGCTATACATGTGACGAAGCCCGAGGCGCTTTGAAAATGCCCGTGAGCGAGCATACACGCGAGGCCAATCGTATGAACGTACGCACATGGAGTCTCTTGCTGAGGACCAAAACCGCTTTCCGTGTCGAGGCTACAGACGGCCAATTACAGGAGCGATGGAACGTCTCTTCGTCGACATCCAGGAATTCCGGGTCGTGCACGTGAGTGGCGTACCCAAGAATCTTATCCCACAGCTTATCAGGGAGCTCGGGGAGAGATGGAGGGTTTTCAATGGTGACTTCAACAGCGAGGAATTCGGTCAGCTTAACCATGCTAGATAATCATCAGACATAGGCATGCATCGAATAAGAGGGAGGAGGTAAGACCCACTTCTTCCCAACGCCGAGGCATATCAGCTCCTGGGCTTTGGGGTCCGCATGCTTGTGCAGTAGCAGAGGTGTAGCGAACTGTCCCATCGTGCGGATTTGGATGATCTTCAGTGTCGGTATTCTGGCGAGTTGCTCGAGGTTGTTGCCATCGATGTTCAAAGTCGCTGTTCTGCTGCTCAAGCTGATATGTTCGAGCGCCGGGAACTTGGGCACCTCACGCAGCAGGTCAGGCCAGAAAACGAAAAGATCGCTAGCAGTAACGTATTTCTACAGAGTTCAGCCGTCAATGAGAGTGGAAATTTATCCAGATACAGAGCGCGTTGGAGCCACGTACGAGCTTCTTCCAGGCAGGCAGCGCACCTGCGATGGCCTTGGAGAGATTTATCCCCACATGGTCTGAAGCGCCGTTCCCTTCGACGGTGTCGAGGAAGAGCCGCTCGGGGCTGATTTTGTTGAGCCATGCTATCCTTGTTGGAGAGGTCATAGCAGAGAAACAAATCGGTGATTCCGGGCGCCGCGTTGAGCACCTTGATGAAGGCATCACCATACCCGCCCTCCATGCGCAGGCGGCGGAGGTATCGCCCGAGCTTCAGCCCTTCCTTGGAACGACTGGAGGCGTTCAGCTGGCTAGCGAGAGCTGTCACTTGATGTGGGCTGCGCAAGATCGCGGACTCGTAGAGCGCGGGTGTTCCTGCGGCGCACCAGCGCTTCGAGACGACGAGCAGGTGCGAGATCGTTGACCGGGGGCTGCTGCAGAAGGTGCGCTGTGTGCGCCATGCCTCGAAGGTTGGCATCGGGACTTGCAATGCATAGCGCAGGATTAGCTCCAGGATCTCGTTCGGGACTGATTCAGTCATGGCTGAGGGAATGAAAGAGCGGCGGGGGTTCGGAGTGAGCTTGTCGGCATATCATATAGCGGAACGTATTCATACCGGTGATGCGCGGGTAGAAGCAGTCTAAGAGCGTCGAGTTGAAATGGCCGTTGGAAGTAGGTGATGCTGTATGGGGATATTGCACCTAAGTAGTGCCTGATTCTACTTCTCAGGCAGGTACGTGACGGCTATTTGTAAATGGCTCTACCCCTGAGTCACGTCTATCCATCGCGAGTACGCTGGAGGGTAGGTCTGCAGAGATGAGCAATTGAGGAGTTCGGGTCAACACAAATGGCTGGCTATCGGAGGCATGAGGAAGATCACAAGAGGTCCACAGAGTGCATCTAAGGAATCAAGTCTGAATACCCTTACCGTCACCCCCGCCAGCATTATAGTCATTTGCATATCAAACTGCACAGTCGACGCGCGCGCCGCGGGGCTGTTTGCACGTGTTTGCAACGCCATGGGATCGGTCTCCTTCAACCCGCTGTGGCCATCGAGTACAAGAAGCCGTTTTTGCATTGAAAGCCAACCAGGCAATGCTAAGGGATATAGATTATCTGATATCCACGCGCTATGACATTTTCGAGGGAGTGCTTCCGTTTTCACTGAGGGTGCACCCCCCGGAGTGGCCGTCCTGGCCAGTACCCGACGGCCGAGCAAACACGAGCAAACAGACTCGACGCGCGCGCGGGACTGCAGTTTAACTGGCACTCGGATTTGCGAACGACTGAACTGTAAGCCTGATTGTTCAGCTGGAACTCAAACCAATCCTTACACAATGCAGCTCTATGTCACGTTCCACATCGCTTACGAACGGTCCCTTCTGAAGAAGCTCCCCAAAGCCCTTCTCATCCGTTTGACTCCTCCCCCTCTTCCCGACTTCTGCTCATCATCAATTCTCCGCTCTCCGTCGTCGATTACCATCTCCCGGGGTGATCCCTGGGGATCCTTAGACCGCATCGACGTACGTGCATCTCCTAGTCCGGAGCCTGTCCCAACTGCCGTATTCTCAGCCGGTGGCAACACTGCGCGAGACAACGGCGGCGTTGGCGAGGTTAGGGTGATCTGCGGGGGTGGACGATCAGACGGTGCATCGCCCATCACTGGGGGCTGTACGACGAAAGGACGAGCGATATCTCCGGGGGATTGAAGAACGGATGCTGGAGGTCTCCTCTGCTGAGTCACGGTCTTGGACCACCCTTCCACCGAAGCCTGGGATGCGCTCCCCGAAGACCACATGTCAGGCCGCGGCTGAGACTGACCATCCCCTGCACCTGTCCACCCTCTCGCTGGCTGCCGCTCTCTCACTGGGTTAAGCTCGACGTTTCCCGGCTGCCTTGGTGCCTGGTGTGCGGAAGGCGGCTGGAGGCTTGGGAGAGCTCCCCCACTATATGATAGGGAATGACGGTGATTATAGTAGCGGTTGTCGCTTTTCGCCGCAGATCCTTCCAGCGCTATCACTTCTCCTGTCATGAGCTGATCAGGACTCTCCGACCTCACGAAATTTGGCACATGTGTTCCTCCCAGGATGTCGCCCTGTCCGTAGTAGAATGAATTGGATACGTGGGGTACAGGCATGCCGCCTGTGACTTCGCCGGATCCAGTCTGGTATCTTCCTTCGTCACTTGACTTCGAGCGAGGCGTGGGACGGATAGGTGGTTGACCAGATGAAAGCATGTTTCTTTGGACAACGTATGAGTCGTCCCTTGTAGAACCGTGGAGAAGGCCAGACTCCGGGATGTGAGTTGGGTTGCTCTCGTCCCCTAAGGAACGGCTACGTTCTAACTGCGGGGTACGTAGTTGGACCCAGCCGGCAGGCTGCGTGGTTGGAATCCATAACGATAGACGATGGTTGGTTGTCTTCGGTGCCGTTGGGGAAACGGGACCATGCGTAGTCGGGGGACACCTCTGTTCACCACGTGCAACATAAGCCTGACCGTGGTTGAGGTCGTGACGCTCAGATTGACGGCGTTCGGCAGAGCGTTGCCAGTACGGAACCTGTGGGACACTGTCGCTCGATCTCGAGTTCTCCGCAGTGAGAGGAGGAGAGGGAAGAGGGCCAGACTCCTGTTTGGAGGGAGCGCGATGAGCAATGTTGGAGGGAGATTCTCCGACATGGTCGCCAGCACCGGCGTACTGAGATGTCAGGTTCTCCGAAGGGCGATTCTCGAGATATGGATCGAAGCGATGGGCGTACGGAGCCGAATTAGATCGCGTACGCTGAAGTGCGGGTGGAGACTTGGGCGGAGTAAGGAACACAGAGGCAGCGTTAGCATGATATTGCGTTGGTTGACGGACAGGGAATGTGCCAGCGGCCGTGTCATCTAGCCGCCTCCCCATCGCGGCCTCAGCCTCAAGAAGACGAGTGGGGTCGACTTCTTCCGAGACTGTAATCTCGACCCCCAACTGATAAGCCTTCACCCGCGCGTTGGTCGTAGTCATGGGACTGTGGCAAAATGTCATCCGGAGTGTGATGCGCTGGTTTGGCAAGGTGTGAGGGTTGAGATGAATTCTCGTGGATGCAATGCCCCCACGAAAGTCCCATGAATGAATGTGAACGGGATGATTGACGAGATGACGGTCCTCCGCGAATTGCTGCTCAAGACTGCAGGTAGCGTCTCGCGACCATATGAGCACTCCCAAGAGCCGCTTGCCGAAATTACACTTGCAGCGGCCAACCTGGATGTCGATCCGGACACCGTCCTTCACGATGACAAGACCAGGAAGTAATGTCAAGTTCAGGACGCGGTTATGGAGGGCAATGTCGGGCTCCTGCGAATCTTCGCTCTTCATTGGTGAAACTCGGTAGCCTTGCAACGAGAGGAGCATCCGCGACCAGTCAGCCAGGCGGACCTCGAAAGAATCGCGCGCATCTCGAAGAGTCGTGTGGGTGGGCTCATCGCGCTGCTGTTCATTCGCAATGCGCGACGGCCAATGGGGGATGTAGACGCTAGCCATCCGGAACAAATGACGTCGGAGGCACTGTTGAATTTCTTGGAGGGACAAAAATGTAGCGCGGTAGTAGTAATCGCTGAGCGGGTCCGTGGAGCCAAATGCGTTGGCAGTCACGAGGTCGGTCATCTTCCCCACAAGCGTACCAACAGAGAACCCAGTCCCGGACTGGTGGACTCGAGGACGCAAGAGGAGAGCCAGCAAGCGTCCGTCGGTTTGAACCTCACAGGCGAGAAGTGCGAGGTGCGTGGGGACAATATCATGGCTGTCTTGCGACACAACTGCTATGAGTGGCAGTCGAGTATGCATGCCGTATGCGGTGACTGAGAACACTTGGTAGGCGTCTTCAGGAGTGATCTCCAGCCTCTTAGCGAAGGCCTCGCGGGATAGGTGGATAAGAGCCGACGACTCCTCGAAGTCTTTCGGGCATGACGCTAGCAAGTATTGTCTCGTGGTGGGGGGAAGCTCAATGGAAGGTGGCTGGGGCATCGATGCTGCTGCATCGGCGTCAGGGCTAGCGAATTGGAAGCGGTGGCGGGTAAGAACAGGTCCCCATCCGAAGATTGACTGGTCGGGCACAACCCTGATGATCTCCTCCTGTAGGCGGACATATGCGTAGCGACCTTCCCCATATGTGATAGGGATGCTGACGCCGAAGATTCCCATCAAGGAATACGCCTCGTCCTCCTCGCGGCTGGTCCTCCTCGACGCTGCCCAAGACATCTTGCGAGCTATGCTGACCTCCTCCAGAGACCGTTCGAAGGTCAGGACAGCATGATCGATGGTCGTGACCTCCTGAATGAGTATGGCGAGGGTCTGCTTTGAGCCGAGAACATCCCAAGATTGAGAGAAGAACAAGAGAATGGTTGGCGCGAGGAGCTCTTGAAGCGTCCAACCACGTGTGAACCATTCGCTATTGCAGAAATCTCCTCTCCAGAACTCGGGGTCTTTGCGGACATCGTGGAGGAACGCGTAGCACACGGCCGCGTACCGGTACCAGTCGTACATGGAAGTGATGGCTTCGGAGAGCTCGGAAGAGCTGGTTTTGTCGATACAGCAGGAGTCGGCCCAGCCAAACTCAAAGCCGTTCTCATGTGATACTTCACAGAAACGTCGGAGTTTGGACGAGAGCTTGGAAAGGATAGGCTCGCCCTCGGGGACTTCGGACTCGAATCGGAGGACATCCTGATACGTTTTCTCCGGATTGTGTTTATCCTTTGACCAGACGTGGGACAAGATAGCGTAGCGGACATGGCGTGGATCCTCGAACCAGTGAAACCTCCCGGTTCTCGTGTTGAGCAATCGCATGGTGAGTCTGATGATAATCAGATGGACTAACAGCGGAAACTTGTAGATGCTGTGCTTACGGCCTCCGACAAGACTTGATTGAATCGCTAGCAAGCCTGTGACACCGCACCCATCCACTCCTTCGTCCCAATGGTGTCAATGCTGTTAGCATGGGTCAGCGAAGTGTCAAGCATGATACTTGAGAGCCTTGCCATCTGCGCGATGACTTGGGCACTATGGAGACGTTGCATACCTTTGCACTAGGAACAACTAGCTGTTATAAGCCCTCTTGCCAATAGACCGCCACGCCTCAGGCTTCAATCCTGTTGCAAAGGTCAGAATCATGGTAGGATTCGAAGGGCGAAAGACATGCGACTCACCGAGGATGTGAGTGGAGGAGGGAGGAGAACACACAAACCGGCGCCAAGCACGCGAACGGCCCCCCTCCAATTTAAAGCCTCGAGTCGGTGATTGGTTTTGGGAAGGCGGTGCGTGTGCGCCCAACCACACTGACAGCGTCCGTCACAGGGAGCATGTGGTATACAGTCATACACGGGTCCTCGGGACAGTCAAGTGTTGTCGCTCATCCCAAACCATCCCCTACCTGTGCAGCCCATATCGGACAATGCCATTATGTGTGGTACACAACAAGGCATTGCACGCCTAAGTTTCATGGTAATCCAACTATGTGTGAGAGGGATCGGGGACAATCATCCCAAATTTCTCTTATCGCACGTCCCTCGGTCCTCGGGACAGCGCTTAATTCCCTCGTATGGAACGAAATTGCTGTTGCCGAGGATAGCCGAACCCGGATATGGTATGTGGACATCTAAACGCCCGATTGCTTGAGCGCAAGAACTACCCTTCCACACTGTGTCGATGACTATCAGGGCTCAGTGTCAAAATCTCACCATATAAAGTTGCTGAGAGAAGGAGATATATGTCGCCTTGTTGTACACCAGAAATGGGGCACACCCATGGGCACGGTGAGTATAGATTTGGGCGGGAACCAGTCCCAGATTTGGTTTTCGTGTAAATCTTGTACAGAAACTGGGCTGGTGACTTCACTTCTGGGTCGCCTCTGATGAAATTTGAGGAGAGGTGAGCTGTAAGAAGTCTATATAGATATATACAAAACCTGAGGCAGTAGGATAGAGGGAGGGTCAGAAAACGCGCAGTGTCCCGAGGACCCATGGTGTCCCGAGGACCC